CCTGTCCACGCTGCAGTTGAGCATGTATGTGCGTCAGCCCAATGCCCGCTACCAACTCCAAGTCGGTGTTTGGGACGGTCAGGCGTTCACCCCGGTCGCTCTTGTGAACAACGAAAGTACTGGTTACGAAGAGTTTGTCTGTGACTTCTCCAACTATGACGGTGCTGCCGGCAGAATCGCCTTCCGCAACGTGCTGGACAACGGCAAAGAGCTGGATTACAGTATCAACTACATCGACAATATCGAGGTTTCCACTTTCGAAGTTGCACCTTGTGATGCTGTCACAAACGTGAACGAGACGGAGAGCTTCGAGGATTACACCCAGTCAACCGTTGCCGCAACGGGCGTGATGCCCACTTGCTGGGAGGTTGTTGAGAAAGAAGTGGAGATGGCATACGACAAGTATCCGCAAGTCTATTACAACCCGGACTTTGCCGGCACGGGCAACTACACGCTGAAGATGATAGACCGTTGCGTGGTGGCAATGCCTGAACTTGCGGACAATATCAACCTGATTAATGTGACGCTGACCATGACGCTTCGCCAGCCCAACGAGGCTTATCAGCTTGAGGTCGGTGTTTGGGAGGAAGGTCCTAACGGATATTACTTCAATCCCGTGGCCACGTTCCACAATGCTGACAATACGGTGACCGAGGTGTCCTGCGATTTCGCAAACTACCCGGGCAGCGGCAACCGCATCGCGTTCCGTAACACGTTAGGCAATGGCAAGAACTGGAATTACAGCTACAACTACCTTGACGACATCACGCTCACGCTCACGGCAGCCAAGAATGCCGAGAGCAGCAGTGCGAACGTGATCGACGAAATCGGTGTCGAGCGTTATCTGGAAGGCATCGTTGTCTATCCGAACCCGACGGTCGGTGAACTCCACATCGGCGCGGTTGACGTGCAGAAGGTGGAATGCTACAACCAGATGGGCCAGCTCGTGGCCGTTTACGACAACGAGAACAACATCAACATCAGCGCACTCGCTGACGGTGTCTATACCCTTCGTATCACCGTGCCGCAGGGCGTGACCATGCG